CGCATCATAGAGAATAGGCTTCTCCCCCTTCCCGGTCGTGTCAGAGTCCTCGGGGGACTTTGTCGCCTCTTTGTGCAGGCCAGCCATCCTCTGGTTGATCGAGCGGTAGCTTCTTTCGAGGCTCTGCAAAGATTTATAGACATCCATGATAACTTCGGGAGTCGGCTCGCCCGTGGAGACTTGCGGGGTTTGATCCAAAGTCCCTGTCTTCTTCGTTGGAGTGATTCGGCGGGGATTCACCGGGCGGCGAGGTCCCTTGGATTTCTTCTTTGGCTTCTGCAGTTTCTTGTCGGTCGAGTCGGCCGTTGCGGCTTCGGAAGCAGCTGGTGCCTGGACATCGTCTGAGTACCTTCGGCCACCAGCAAGGGTGGCGTTCGTGAGGAAGAGAGGTCGAACTCTACATAACGATGCCGTAGATGGTTTGCAGGACACGCAAACATGCGATACCCTGAGGCTTTGAATGCGCAGACGGTTCGCACGGAACATTGCGTGGATTGTCGACGAATTCCCTAGGGCGCATTGGGGAACTGTGCCAGAGGGTGGGCTTGTAGTTGGTCTTGAATTTTTTTTTTTTTTTGTTCTACGGCGCGCAATGACTGACGCGACCCGGTTCCACCTGCCGGGGCGACCTTAATTGCCATGCTGATCCCTGTACGTACTGCATAGTATCTATGATCCGTCCGAAACGACCTCACCTCTTTGGCGCCTGCGAGCAACACACGGTAATTTTTGCTTGGAAATTCGATTAACGACATTTTTCTTGTGACGGGATCAAATGGGTGATATCAGCCCAGTAGCCGCCCGTTTCGCTCGGAAGCGATACATGTGGGGGGTATTATGCGTTCCCAAACAACCACCAACTCACGTCAAACCAAATACCGTTCCAGACGCCAGATCCTATGCCCTCTACAAACGAAGCTCAACCGAAGCTTATTCCTTGCCTGTCAACGCGTAAGATGCATACTCTGTCGCCGTCTGTCGTGCTGCCTCGGCATCTGCAAACATTGCCTGTACCTCAAAAGAGTCGGCTAACATGCCATCTGCAACACTCATCCACAGCAAGTTCCCACTACGCTTGGCCTGCGTGGAAGCTGCCTTCGCGCTCTTGAGAGCCTGTTCTCCCACCACGTTGTCGAATAGCCTGTACCGCATGATGCTCAGGGCTATCGCCAAGCAATGTGTGTTCCCCGTAACCTTTGAGCCATTCAGCGAGTTTGTGATGCTCGTCTTGATCTGGTGCATTGACGGAGGAGGATTGGTCTGAGCTGTTGCTTGAACAAGATTGAAAGCAGTCCGGATGTCTGGGTCCTGGTGCTCGATACAGTGCCCCCTCAGCTTGTCCAAGAGTTCGGTTGAAGTCATTGAATCGCGATATGCGGGATCTTGAAGAATCCAAAGACGGTTCAGACCAGCGAGAATGCACAGCTCCATGTAAGCTGGTTTCTTGCCGCTGGAATTACCAAAACCCGCCAGTAGGTCCAGCCGTTCGTCCTCAAATAGAATGAGAGCGGTCTCAAGGTCGCCCGTGCCTTGATGGTAGACTCCTGAAAGGTATAGCGAGAAGATGTTGAAAATATCGTTGACAGCTGGCGTAATCGCTTGCTGGAGCTGAGCCACACACTGCTCGACTTTAGACCATTGGCTATGAGTGGCAAAGTACAGCCCGGTCAGAGCTTGCAGATAGCAGAACATCTCAGTCCTCCACTTGGCCTGCTCGATAGACCCCTGCAGGGACGAGCCAGACAACTTTGGCACCACTTCTTTGTTCCCTTCGATCGAATTAGCACACAGTCCAATATGAACCACATTTAGACTCACACTTCGCCAATACTTCAAACCCCTCCTTCCAGAACTCGTGACTTCTCCTAGATTCTGGACCAGGTCTGTACATGCCGGCAAGGCCACTAAAGGTATAACTGCATGGCATTAGCACCGCACCTATGCAAACAGCTCTGGGAAACTTACGTCAAAACGACTATCTCGAGTCTATTCATGAACGTCATCACCACGTAATCGTGTCTCGATGACCCTGCTCTGAGAATAGCGCTCGTGTCGTCACTCAGGATGGCGGCTGGTGCCGATTGTTTGTTGATTGGTATCAGAATCTCAGGATTCAGGTCGCTCCATGTCGAAGAACCCATGTTGTCATCCAACTTCGCTTGAAGAGACTTCAGCTTGTGTATCAAGATATCCGGCGTCTTTTGGTGCATGCTGCAGGCTAGATCGAGAAGCAATGTCAAAATTTCTAGCTGCGGGATTCGAACAACCGGGTCGAATTGATACTTGGATACCTGAGCAAGGCAGGTTTGCACACGCTCAATCGTATCAAACCGTATCACCCGAAGCAGTGCGAGACCTTCGAGGAGAGAGGCAAACACTACCATTGCGCTATCGTGACGCTCAATTGCCATTGCCGCAAGAGAGCGAAGATTTTCCAGCAATGGGGCATCAGGAGGAGTACCAGCATGCACATGGAATGTAGCCTTCAGCAAGCGGAAGGCATAGACCCAATGATGGTGCTTGAAACTGTTCCATGAGTCAGCATGTCCACGTTCTCACTATGGCAGAAGCGACGCACGTCTGAGAATCGGAGATGTTTCTGTCAATGGCAATGAAGGCCGCCTTTTGATTTCGTTGAAAAAGTACCTTTAGCAGCAGGTATTGCATGCAGTACTTCAGGTCAGCGTATCTATGCTACGGGTATGTCAGTACGGTGATCAGCACGGCGGGGCTGTAGAGAACCAACCTTCTCGCAAATAGTAATACCCTTGCTGAGCGCCGTCTCGGCCTCTTGCAAGTTCTCAGTCTCCTCGCAGAGAATGGAGGCATATCTCAATCGTGCCCGGGCCTCTTGTCGCGGCGATAGACGGTTGCTCTGGAAAGCCGCCTCAAGGCAGGCAAGTCCGGTAGTGATCAGCTTCTGGTATTCGCGCACCTGCTCTTCCGCCAACGACGCAGCGACCTTTTGGACGCCGCGGTGAGCTTTCTCGAAGCATTCCTCGGCAACGTGTATGAGGATCGCGGTGGTATCATAAGATCTCGCTTTTGTGGACAGTGCCGGGGAACCCCGCGATGACACCGCCGGAGAATTCATAGACGATATGGCAGGCGACTTCCTCGCCAGACTGGGGGACCTGGCAGGTTGGACGACGGGAGAGTTCGCGTGATTGGGCTCTGGACTCGGTTGTACTTGCGAGGGTTCCGCGAAGGCTTGATTTAGAACGGGGACACTCTGATTGTGACCCATTGATGGCGGAGAGAACTGGGCATACTGCGTCGCCTGCGGTTGTACGTGCTGCGGCTGTTGCTGAACCTGATGACGAGGCTGCGGCTGGACCGGTTGCTGGAAGTGTTGCTGGTATTGGGCTTGATGTTGCGGCTGTTGCGGCTGTTGCGGCGTATGCGGCTGGTACTCGGCGAAGGTCGGCGCTGTTGGGGTCGGCACGGATGCTGTGACGAGGGCGGGCGATCGTACTGGTTGAGTATTCTGGGGAGGAAAAGCAGCATGAGGTACGTGGGGAGACACAAAGGGGGAGTTCATCACATTGCTGTGGGCAAAGGACGGTTGGCTTTGATGTTGGGGATAGTGCTGCTGCGGCTGCGGCTGGTGCGGTTGCTGCTGCTGCTGCTGCGGGAAGTTGCCGCCGTAGGCAGGAGGATAGTGGCCGTAGCCGTTTGGCTGCATGTTCATCGGCGCGGGCGCGGGAGGTACGATGGGGGAAGGAACGGGCGATTGATGGAAGTTGCCATGGGAAGGTTGCGCCTGTCCGAGATTGCCATAGGAGGCATTCTGGAAGGTTTGGTTCTGGCCGTTAGGGTTGCCATTGCCGTACGGATCGTGGTATGTCTGAGGTAGGTGCTGCTGGCCATTAAAGGCTTGCCCCGAAGGCAAGGAGCCCCGGTAGGTCATCTTTGGGACTGCATAGGGAGCGCAGGCGCAGACGTCGCTACAAATCGTCTCGATGGCCGCCTTGTTGAATCGACTGCGACAGGAACTGGGCTGATTGTTGCGACGCGGTTGCTGTCCAATAGCCGCACCTGCAGGTCGCGAGGCTCACGTCAGGAACCACTGGCGGGAGATGCCCAAGAGCCCCTGCACGCCTTACATAATTACACGTGCATGGGAAGGGGATCCACCTAGACGAGACTAGGTACGTAGTCGGGTCATCGACCGATGCATGGGACACCGAACCCATGACATTCGAGGCGGCTTTGGGTTGGTCCCGTCTCGCCTGGCTGGAACACATTGTTGCCAGAACCTACGCAGTACCTGTCTACTTTTTCATTCGATGGTTATCATTTTCATGGAAGCGGGCGAGAAGCTTGTAACTGAGACTGATGGTCTTGAACCCACCGCCTCGAGTGGCCGAGAAGAGAACACTAGGAGTGCTCGCCTCCTGAAGCTACGTAGTCGGCCAAGAATGAGTTAAATGTCCGACTCAACAGCCCACTCTAATTGGGTGGCTAGCCTGTGCCTCGGCTCAACTCGAGCTGCCTCTGTGTATTTTGGGCTGCTCAACCGCTATTCTTCTTGTCCACGCTCTCGGGACTCGTACATATGCTCGCATAGGACCGAATTCCTTCTCTGCAGGACGGGCGATCGGTGAACCCGGTGCCGATCTACCTCATTGGAATGAGCCTCGGTGCTGCACCGAAAGAAGACAAGTCGTCCGGTCGCCTTTCTGCCGCCGTTGGTGTTTGTCCCAGCGGTAGCAAACAAGCTACGGGGCATTTTGGGGGGCCCCTTGGCGGCTCCACCGTCATGACTTGTGTCTCTATTTCCCGTTTTCACATGGCCATATATAATTTAACGTGATAGCTCTCAACTTTGTCCCGTTTACTGACGGAAGATTGCATTTTGATCACTCTGTGACTTTTCGAGCGCTTGTCTTACCTGACCCCAACTCTTCAAAAACAACCTAGAGGCGCCACTCCCGCCACTCACCGTTCCTTCTCAAGCCAATCTGTCTCGAGCGTCACTCTCCCGAAATCTCCGAATCATGGAGTGGCTAGGTCGAGCCAAGATCAACTTCACGCACTCGCCGGCACCTTTGTCGCTGAAGGAGAAGGATGGCTCCAAGACTGATATACTCAAGGTCTGCGAAAAGGTCATACCGCCATGCCAGATGAACCCGCTTCTGTTCAATGGCCACGTGCAGACGATGTGGACGGCGACCAAGCAACACGGCCCCCCTATCTACTACAAGCGCCATGTGTTTGACGCCGACTCCAAGGCTGTTGAGGGTACATTTGCGGTTGACTTTGTGACGAAGCCTTTCGAGGAGACGGACGAGACTCTCCCGCCCCGAACGGTTTACTTCAAGGACGATGAGCTCGCGGCGCTGCCTTCAGACGACGAGAGACCGCAGCTGGTCGTGCTTCACGGTCTTTCTGGTGGATCTCATGAGATCTACCTGCGACACGCGATTGCACCGCTTGTCGAGTCTGGAGAATGGGACATCTGCGTTGTCAACTCGCGAGGTTGCGCTAAGAGCAAGTTCACCAGCGGCACGTTGTACAACGCAAGGGCAACTTGGGATTTCAGACAGGTCGGTTGCTCGTCAGGATTTTCGAGTGAAAAGTGACTAACACGATGTTGAAATCAGACGGTCAAGTGGCTGAGAGAAAAGTTCCCCAACCGGCCCCTGTTTGGTCTGGGCTTCTCCCTTGGCGCAAACATGTTGACAAACGTGAGTGGGAGCTGTTAACTGCTTTTTGTGTATATCTCATACTGACTTTGATAGTACTGCGGTGAGGAGGGTACCAACTGTCTGTTGACGGCTGCTATCGTTTGCTCCAACCCCTTCAACTTGGAGGTCGCCAACAAGGCACTGAAGAGAACACTCATTGGAAGGGAGGTTTACCAGAGAGTTATGGGCCGTAAGTTCTCCATACTTTTGTTTCATCAAGTCAAGATCCAACTAATACATGGATGCAGAGAGCATGAAGCAACTCATCAACGGCCACAGAGAGGCGATGGAAAAGTACACCAAGCTAGATCTCGAGCGTCTCAACAACGTGACGTACCTCGATGAATTCGACAGAGAAGTCCAGTATGTATCAACCCTTAGTGAAAAGCCAACACTTTACTGACTGCCGCAGGTGCATCAGCTGGGGCTACCCAACGGAGTCAGCATACTACAGAGACGCCTCGTCTTGCGATGCCGTCTTGGCCATCAGGGTTCCCTTCCTCGCTCTTCACGCCAAGGATGATCCGGTAAGGGTTCCCGTCATGCGCCAAAAGATGATTGCATGCTAACAGACCCGACAGATTGCAGTGGAAGAGGCCATTCCTTACGAAGAGTTCCAAAAGAACCCCTACACGGTTCTGTGCACGACCTCTCTCGGCGGCCACCTTTGCTGGTTTGAGCCGGGTGGTGGAAGATGGCACGCCAAGCCGGTCAAAAACTTCTTCAACCACATGGCTTTCAACGTGGATCATAACGCATTACCTCCCAAGACGAACGGAATTCCCGTCACCAATGGCAGCGCAGAGTACCACTTTGATGCGGCAAAACATAGAATGGAGATCAAGGTCCGGGAGTAGTAGGGTTGGATAGAACGTCAAAACAGTGCATAGATTTAGCCATTTCCCTTTCATTTAGACGTGTCTGGAGATTATACAGAGCTATAGACAGCGAATAAGACAAATAGATGGACTCGCCATAGAGATAGATGTACATCACCAGTTGGCCACCCGACGTGATGAAGAATGCCCTAGGTAATGCATTAAGCTGATGCGGAAGGGCAAGATCCGCCGTGGTATCTGCTCTGAACGCCACCAAAACTCGCAAAAGGGTTGAAAGTCCCCTGCCGCACATCCCAGCCCAGTCTGTTCTTTTTGTTTTCGGCACTCCTGAACGCCACCCATGATGCAAAATAAGACCGATACTAATGTAGAGGCAAGATGTCCGACGGATGCATTTATGCGAACGACACGCTCTTCTTCTTCTTGGGCTTGGTGGCCTTGGACCCGGCGACGGCGATGTCGTTGATGTTGTTGTCGTTCTCGGTGTTGGCATTGCGCTTGCGCTTCTTGCGCAGGGACTCCTTGGTGTCCTCCAGCTTCGACTTCTTTTCCGCCTCCTTCTTCTCGGCCTCTACCCTGCGGGCTTCGCGGATCTCCTCCATCTGTCTCGCCTTCATCATCTTGGACTCGATCTGACCCTCCTTCTCGGCCTGGACCATGGCGAGGATGGTGTTCATGCTCTCCTGTTCGCCTTTCGTTAGCAAATGTTGTACACCGATGTCATCGCGCCACAAGGTGCCTTACCCTGTCATCGACGAAGACCTTGCCCTTCTTCTTGCCCTTCGGCTTCTGCACGCCCGCGGGGACAATCGTGTTGAGCTTGGGAATGTCGAGCTCCTTCTCCGTGTAGACCTTCTTCTTGCGCTTCTTCAGGAGGGCCTCAAGGCCAGACTTCTTGCTACCCTTCAGCGGCTTCGTCCCCTTCGGGGTGTCCTTCGATTTCCTAACGATGCCATCGGGAGGGCCGCTCCTGGAGGCTTCCTTGGAATTCTTGATACCGGAACCCCTCTGGGCGTGCTTGTTCTTGATCGTCTTCGTCTTGTTTGGCGGCATTGTGACGGGTTTGTGGGTGACGCAGGGACTGGTTCGGTATAGGCGGGTGTTGAATTGAACTGGTCGCGCGACACGAGAAGCTGGAGGGACCGAGACGCAAGATTCTAGAATTTTTTCTGTCTGCGCAGAGCGATAAGCTCACCGCGACAGGTGCGATAAGCTTGAGTGGGTCCGCTCCCCGCCATCCGACTTCAGCGCTTCAAGTCCAGCGCAGCACACCTGCATGAGCCATGTGCAAGACTCCCATCAACTTCTTTCTGAGAGCTCCAAATTCCTGTGTCATTGAGAAGGAGTCATCTCCCTTCTACTTTCTCGCATCTCAAGCAGGGAATCAAATAAAAGACCGCATGTAAGATTAATTAGAAGCTTCGGTCATATTGACTCGGCCCTCCGACTTGGACCACAGCTTCAGGGCCCATGGCCAGGATCAGGACTCAGTCCTGGGTCCCAATGCGCCTTTTGCGTAACAGCGCTGTGACACCCTTGCCGAATTTTTTAGGTTGCTGCCGTTATCGCACTCACCCAAATCTCTCATCTCTTTCGTGACTAACAACCCTCTCCTCCGACGAACATCTCACACGGGACCAGAACCTCTACAGCCCGAATCCTGAGCCATTGGCTCTCGAGCTTAGTCCGCAAATATCCTACGCTTGGTCGCATCACTTGGGGGCTCCCAATTGACAGGATGTCGCAGCCCGTCAAGAGGTTTCCCGGCCACTTGGCTCAGTTTGTGCGGTGCTACTCGGTCTCCGCTGAGAGCATTCCGGCGGCAAAGAAGAAGTACATCCCGACGGAGGGCACATATCCCCAGGGCTTCCAGGCTTCTGGTATCTTGGTTGGAGTCAAGCCTTCGAACAAGACGAAGCCTGACCTCGCTCTTCTGAGCTCAGACCGTCCCTGTGCTGCGGCGGCTGTCTTCACCAAGAACAAGTTCCAGGCCGCGCCGGTTACCTTCAGCAGGGACCTGTTGAAGAAGAAGGCCAACAAGGGCATCCGAAGTGTTCTTATCAACTCAGGATGTGCCAACGCCGTCACTGGCAAGGGAGGTCTTGAAGATGCCTCTCTCATGGCCCACGCCGCTGACAAGGCCGTCGGTGGTGCTGGCGATGACTCGTCGACCATTGTCATGAGCACTGGCGTTATCGGCCAGAGGTTGCCTATCGCAAAGATTGTCGACAACGTCCCAACTGCCCAGGGAGCTCTGGGCTCTTCACACAAGCATTGGCTCAGCTTCGCTACCGCCATCTGCACTACCGACACCTTCCCGAAACTCATGTCCAAGACCTTCACCCTGCCCTCTTCGCCTGGCGTCGAATACCGTATTGCCGGAACCACCAAGGGCGCCGGCATGATCCACCCCAACATGGCTACCCTTCTGGGTGTTGTCGCCACGGACGCTCCCATCTCTCCTGCCGTCATGCCTTCCGTCCTCAAGCACGCCGTCGACCGCTCCTTCAACAGCATCACTATTGATGGAGACACCTCGACCAACGACACCATGGCCCTTCTCGCCAACGGCGCTGCTGGCGGCAAGGAGATTACCTCTCAGGATTCCCCCGACTACGCCGCCTTCAAGGAGGTTCTGACCGATTTCTCCATCGACCTGGCCAAGCTCATCGTTCGTGACGGTGAGGGCGCTACCAAGTTCGTCACCATCCGCGTCGTCGAGTCTGCCAGTGAGGAGGCTGCCAGGAAGATTGCCAGCACCATCGCCAGATCCCCCCTTGTCAAGACTGCTCTCTACGGCCGTGACGCCAACTGGGGCCGCATTCTGTGCGCGACTGGTTACTCTTTGGTTTCCGAGCCTGGTCAGGCTGTCATTGATGTCCCCGAGGTCGTTCCTGAGAAGACCAACGTCTCTTTCATCCCCACCGATGGTAGCGCTGAGCTGAAGCTGCTGGTCAACGGCGAGCCCGAGATGGTTGATGAGGCCAGAGCCTCTGAGATTCTGGAGCTTGAGGACTTGGAGATCCTTGTCAGACTTGGTACTGGTAACAAGGAGGCTACGTACTGGACTTGCGACTACAGCCACGAGTACATTACTATCAACGGCGACTACCGCACATAGAAAGGCGTTATATACATAAACCGGGTGATAGATAGATGGTAGAGTCCATGCGCCATCAAAAAGTTAGATCAAATCATGCAGTATGATGGTTTTTGTTGATTTAGAAGAATACAGCGAAGTTTCAATTTCATGAAGTACCTGTCAACGCCAACAAGCATGAGTTCATCCGACGGATGTTGGTTCGGGACGTTGGTTCGGGATTGAAATCCGACAGAGTATCCCACCGGAAATCCAATGGTGCCAGAAGCCGCACCGAGGCACCGGAGTGGACTATGGAGGCTCCTATTGGAGACGCGGCACAGCCGGCGCCTCCCCGCATGGTTGATGCGCCAGAGTGGTGCCACAGCGGCTCTGAGAGTTTAGAGGTAACCGGGCGCCGAGCCACGGCGTTCGTCAGTAATCTTAGACTTGGAGACGGGATTGAGCATGATGGAGGGCAATTAGCTGCGGTCTGCTCACTGATCAAGAATGAAGATGAAACTCTCATTGATAGCGTATGTTAGCATGTGCTACTTTGACGAACGGACACGCAAACATGGATTGACAGCAAGTTGAATGAGTGTCTTAACAGCTAAGATGCAGGCAATTGCAGACAGATCTGGCGGCATCCACCGCTGAGGGGCCACTCTCAGACGCGGAGGCGGAGGGCAAGACAGTTACCCCAGGATCCCCACATTTTGGAGTCCCTGTAGCTCCAGAATCAACCTCGGCTCCGGGTCGTCCTAACATCCATCTACCGTACGATGCATACTAAACGATTCCCGTTCAAAAGGGAGGTTGCGCCCATCATTTTCCCATATCAATTCTCTGTACTCCTGGCCTCCACAACCAATCCTGATAACCAACCTGAGAAAGTTTCGTTCCATCTACATCGGTTTATCTGTCTCCCAGTGTCGCAAAGATGACGTCCAGAGTTCCAGCCATTGTAGGTGCTCGCTGCGGGGAGAGCTCGGTCTCGCTAGCTAACCAGCTCGCCACCAGGTCCTGGATCGCCTCAGCGATCGCGCCAAGGAGGCGCTCGATGCCGTCGCGAAGTTCGTCGAGGAGGAATGCATTCCGTAAGCACAATTGCACCTCCATAGTAGCTCAGGCCTATCCTCCACGATGCTGACACGCCGGCGAACACAGTGCCGACCCCGTACTGGAAGCTCAGATCGGCCAGGGCGACGCGAGATGGAACCACCACCCGCCCATCGTCGACGACCTCAAGGTCAAGGCCAAGAAGCTCGGCCTGTGGAACATGTTCCTACCCAAGGGCCACTACAAGGAGTCTCCCGGCTTCACGAACCTCGAGTACGGTCTGATGGCTGAATGGCTCGGCAAGTCGAGGGTCGCCTCCGAGGCTGTTAACTGCGCGGCGCCCGATACCGGTAACATGGAGGTGCTGGCCAAGTATGGCAACGAGGAACAGAAGAAGAAGTGGCTGAAGCCCCTGATGGACGGCGAGATTCGCTCCGCGTTCTTGATGACGGAGCCTGATGTCGCGTCGTCGGATGCTACCAACATCCAGCTTAGCATGCGTAAGGAGGGCAACGAATACGTCCTCAACGGCTCGGTAAGCTTTGAAGATACTCGCAAGCGGAGGAATTGAGTGCTGACAATAGCAGAAATGGTGGTCTAGCGGTGCCGGCGACCCTAGATGCTCAATCTACATCGTCATGGGCAAGAGTGATCCCAACAACAAGGACACCTACAAGCAGCAGTCCGTTATTTTGGTTCCTGCGGAAACCAAGGGCATTACCATCCACCGCATGCTGAACGTCTACGGCTACGATGATGCCCCTCACGGCCATGGCCACATTAGCTTCAAGGATGTTCGCGTGCCCGCTAGCAACCTCGTTCTCGGCGAGGGTCGTGGCTTTGAGATTATCCAGGGCAGACTTGGACCCGGCCGTAT